CTTGGACGTGGGATTATTTTACATGGAGATACCCATATTATTTTCCCAATAACCAAAAATATCACTTCCTGGAAAGTTGGGGATGTCAATTGTAACTGTGAAACTTAACAGGTCTAGGACCTTCAAGAACAGAGTTCAAATTCAGATGCTACAGGAACGCCCTTCCAGCTTGCATCTTTTCAAAGCTGGTTCCTCCTCATCCTTCCTTCCTATATACCGTCCGTTTCTCCAGAATGATCTCCCTGCTTTGTGTACATACTCATGCACTTCTCATTTTTCCATCCCTATCCCTGTGTTTACCCGGTCAGCAGTACTGTTCCTCTCTGACCATAAACCCAGAGGTTACCTATGCTTGAAGGCAGGCTCAGATTGTGTGCTAGCTCCCTCAACCCCAGCTAGAAATAATTTCTCTCTTCTCTGAAATTCTGAAATAGATAATCCACACCCTTTTATGATAATTATGGCTTTCTAATTTATATTGTATTCTAAGTGCTCTTTTGTCTTAGTGAAAATCGTAAGCTCCTTCAGCACCTACCACAGTGCAACATGTACACACAGTGGGACCCCAACCACACTAACAAAATGAACAAACTAGTGAGACACTTCAATAAATTAAAATAACTGACCACAGGCAAAAATTTCTACCCCCACCCAGAAATATTTGTTTAGCAATTATTTCTCATAGATCAACAATATCTAGAATGGAAAGTCATGTTAAAATTATCTGAAACTTGGAAGTAAGGCAAAGAGAATACTGAGTCTTTCCAATGTCTGCTAGAGCATATCCATGAAGCCAGCCTAAGTCTTACCCTCTAGACTGAGGTGTAACAGAGTTTGACTTTCTATTTACTGTTGGTTAGGGATTCAGTTCTGCAAAGTTAGATGTTAACATAGAGAAACAGGATCATATAAAACGTATTTTGCCCAAATGTCATCACTTTATTGCCCTCTAGGCCATTAACCAGCTTTGTTTCTAGTTTAGCTATGTCATTCTGGCATTTTTTTCCACTGCTACCTCTCTCTCCCACATTTATATACATCAGTTTCTGGTATCTTTCTTTGAACCAGTTTTATCATCTTGTTCTTTCCTTCATTAGTGAGTTAAATAAATCTTTGATGTAAACTTGTTAAAAAACCGGGCTCGGTGGCTCAGCCTGTAATTCTGCTCCTTTGGGAGGCTGAGGTGAGTGGATTGCCTGAGCCCACGGGTTTGAGACCTGCCTGGGCAACTTGGCGAGATCTCATCTCTACAATAAATAAAAAAAAAAAATTAGCTGGGCGTGGTAGCGCACGCCTGTAGTTCCAGCTACTTGGAAGGCTGAGGCGGAAGGATCACCGGAGCCCAGCATGTCGAGGCTGCAGTGGCCAGGAGCATGCCCTGAACTCCATTCTGGGCAACAGAGTGAGACTCCAACTCAAAAATAAATAAATAAAAAAAAAATAAATTTGCTCAATTATTATATGAGAATTGGGTGTTCAACTTCTTGAAAATTATGCTTCAAGAATATTAATAATTAGGAATCAGGGAGCACATGTAAAAATAGGTAAGTTAGTATTAATATTTTTCTACTTATAAATAATTTTCTTTAATTTTTATCTAGAATAAATTTCCCAAATACCAAATTTACTCACCCACAAACATTTGCTTTCATTTTGAAGGATTTATACAAAATCAACAGTGAGAGAAATGAGTATTTTTTATTCCTTGTATAGAATAACTTCTAATGACATGTGTATGTCTATTTTAAGTCTGCCACAATTGATTCAGTTATAGTTTTACTTAAAAAGCCTACATCTCACTTGATCTGTTAAAACAAAAATAAAATCTGCTTGCAAATTTCTTGAATTTATCTATCATTTGAAATTACCGAGCATCATAGAATGTAATTTTACATCATGTTGGGATAAATAGAATTTTGCAAATTCAAGCCACACTAATATTGCATCAGGAGCAAGGCATTTGTTCTGAAATCACTACAGGCCATAATGGAAACCAGACACACTAGTGCTTCAAGAAGTAACTAGCTGAAATTGAATGAAATAATCACCCAATGCATAAAGCATTTATAAGATTTACCATAAAGTTCAGGTAATTTTTTTTAACTGAAGAGAAACAATTCTTTCTTATTGTCCTTAACATCAAATGCCATCGCATCATAAAAATAAAATACGGCACATGGGCCATTCCATTTTGTTCATCCATTTATTCATATAATACATATTCACGTTATCCTATAATAATGGAAACATTATGCTTGTTCACTACTATTTCCAATGTTGTTTAATCAACAAGACTCAACATGTTCCCTGGTGAGATCATTGCCAAAAGAGAATCCAGTCTAAGCAGAGGGTTAGAAAGGTCTGGGCTCTGCTGTTGTTGCTGCCTCTGCCTTTACACTCCCAACTTCATCCCAACATGAATGGATGGTTTAGGTGGGAGAGGAGAACATCCCTAATTCCCATTCCCCTAGATACTATCCTAGGGAAGCACAAGTTTGGAGTTGGAAAAAGTTGCCAACTCATGTGTTTCTCTCAATAAGACGTTTTAAATTTCCAAACATAAAGAGAGGGCTTGCAAGTAAAGGTGCAAATTTTATGAACTCAAAGTGTTTTCAGCCTTCCATCAAATCACCAGTGTTTGCATAATAGAGATGCCTTTACACTGATAGGATCCGAAAGTGAAGTTTGCTAATTTCTATTATGCTGAGGAATGTCTCATTGACAAACACCATTGTGTTGCATAAATAAGCTGGCATCCCAATACCTAGAGTATTTTGAAAACCAGTAGTTGTGAAATCTATGGGATCTGGTTCAAGTGCTGACTCCTGCATAAAGTTTCAGACAAATTGTACTCACTTTTATTTCTTTCTCTTTTAATCCCCTCTTCCCATACCATACTCCATCTAATCTAAGACATCAGTAACTATTTCATACATATTTTGAGTGCCAGTAGTATAAAAAAAATCCTGCCCATTAAACTGTGTCTCATCATTAATTTTAAGTTGCAGTTCAATTTCAGAGCTTTTAGTCTGAAAAAAATGTGGATCTTAGAATCAAATGCAATATTCTACTAGCTCAGCACTTGATTGGCTACTCTACTCTTTTTTAATTGTGTATTCAACACATTCTAATCATTGTTATTATGTTTTACTACATTGCGCATGTACTGCCAAGTTATAGGCACACGGGAGGCCATAAAGTTATAATTACTGCTTAGATGATAAAAGGACTTAAAGAAACTGCTGTTGCAAAAATGGAGTTACTGTCAAAACTGTAAAATGCATACTCAAGATAATTTGCTTCTTCAACTTTAGATATTTTGGGGAGCTGAGCTTGCAAGCGTGGAAACAGTGTTCAAATGGGCTATTTGGAGAGTCATCATGGATATTTGTTAAAAACGAATTCCCTAAGTCTGTACTGTGTGAAAACTACTGCACTAGAGTCCATGAGACACAAAGATGAATTTGATCTGACTCCCATCATCAAAGACTCCACATTTTAGTTTGAAAAATGAAACAGGTACATAAAAGAGTGATAAAAGCTATAAGAAGATTATTGATAACATGTTATGTGATTCAGAGAAAGGAGAGATGACTGGCCCGGGGAACCAGAGAAACACCCATAATTGAATCGCCCCTTGACTTGGGACTTGGAGGATAGACAGGAGGGATTACCTGGGGTGGATGGGCCTACCAGGCAGAAGGAACTGCTTGGTAAAAGACCAGAAGGCTTAAAATACAGTGAATGACAATTGCTTAGTTTCAGGACATGAGGGTGGGGTAGTGGGAAAGACAGGTTGGGAGAAGAGGGAAGGGAAGAAGATTTTGAAAATCACACTAAGGATTGGTGTCTATTTGTTCCTTATACAGTATAGAGTCATTGCGGGTTCTGCTATTGTTGCAACTGTGGTTGATTTCATGGAAACACACCTGACAATTAAGATGCTTTTAATATAGACCTGTAGCAAGTGGAACTGTGTTCCCCGAACTGATATGTTCAAGTCCTAACCCCTGGGACCTTATTTGAAAATAGAGTTCTTTGCAGATGTAATCAAATTAAAATGAGGTTAGGCTGGGGTAAGGTGGGCTCCTCCTGAGTCTAAAATAAAATAATTTTTTTTAAAAGAAGGAAATTTGGACACAAACATAGAGACACAGAGGGAGAATGCTACGTGACTACAGAGGCAGAGGTCAGAGTACTCCAGCCACAAGCCAAGGAACTGTAAGGATTGCCTGCAGACCCCAGAAGGTGGGAAGAGGCAAGGAAGGATCTCCCGCCACCGCCTAGAGTCTTCAGGGGATGGACATGCTCTGACAAAACCTTCATTTAGGACTTTGGACCCCCAGAACCAAGAAAGAATAAATCTCTCTTGTTTTATGCCATCTAAATTTGTGGTAATTTGTTATGGCAGCCCTGGTAAACTAACACAACTCCTTTTAAATAGTACTTTGTTTGACTGCTTGTAAGGGTGATTAAAATCTAAGACATCAGGAATGCTATGTAATGCTGGATGGGGAGAGCTATAATGTGAGGGGAGGCAGCCCTGGATGGGAGAGGTCCTCTGAGGTTCTAGTTTCTTCCAATTTCATCCCACTTTTACTTTAGCTTCCACAAAAGATTTAATTTTAAGAAAGACTCTCTTTTTTTTTTTTGGAGTGCAGTGGCACGCTCCCGGCCATCGCAGTCTCAACCTTCTAGGCTCCGGCGATCCTTCCGCCTCAGCCTTCCAAGTAGCTGGAACTACAGGCATGCGCTACCACGCCTGACTAATTTTTTGATTTATTGTAGAGATGAGGTCTCACCAAGTTGCCCAGGTGGGTCTTGAACCCATGGGCTCAGGCAATCCACTCACCTCAGCTTTCCAAAGCACGGGATTACAGACTGAGCCACCAAGCCCAGCTAAGATTCTCATTTTAAAATTATAAAGTATGAGGATATAAAAACCCAATCTAGTAGTTTTCATATGAAAACATACCACACAGAGATACAGAGCTACTCACCTCAACATGTTGACAAGTTTGGATGAGTTTAGCCAAAAGGGTCTCCAGTTCCGTATTCCTCTTAATAAGGTTGGTGAGGTTACTCTCTAAGTTTTGCTGTTCAAAAAAAAAAAAAAAAAGAAGAATGTTATTCTGCATACTTTTATACTTTGGTATACACAAAGTTACTCATACTAAGGAAAAACTGTATGCTTTTCAGAAACCTCAAGTATCTACAAATTTAAACTAAACTTTCAAAAGTTCCATTTAAAAGAACCTTTTAGAAATGTTCAAAATTCATCATTTTTGTTTGTACTTCCTGCACTAACTCAGGGATACTTAACTGAATAATTAGTTATAGGTTACTTCTAGGCCATGAACTAGGGAGAAAGGAGGTAATTGGATTTCTATTTCCTAATCTGAGTCAGAAATGGCAAAAATACAAGAAATATATTCCCACACCAAATCAACTGTCATAGAATTTTTAGAATTTACCCTTTAATGGGCAGGCTGAAGTTAATCTCTTGGAGGAAGATTTGAATTGTTTAGCTATTGTTGACAATATGGTCACTTGTAGGCATTTATAAGAAGTCCTCGTGACATACACATTTACTTAGTTGTAGTACATTTGGCTCTCTGTATTCATTGGGTTCCACATCTGTGGAGTCAACGAACCGCAGACTGAGACAAATGGATGGTTGTATCTATATTGAACATGTACAGACTTTTCTCATGTCATTATTCCTTCAACAATACATATTACGAGTATTTACAGAGCATCTACATTGTATTAGGTATTACACGTAATCTAGAGATTATTTAAATTATGTAAGAGAATATGCATAGATTATACACAAATACTACCACTTAAAAAAAAATCAAGGATTTGAACCTCCATAGATTTTGGTATCTATGGGAGGTCCTGAAATTAATCCCCCATAGATACCAAGAAACAACTGTATATTTTATTGTTCATGCTTCTTTGTTTACCAATACCAGATCAAATTTCCTTGAACACTATGTTTACCATATCACTATCCTGCTTAAGGTGTTAAGAATTATTTCTTATTTCTTTACAGCATTAAATTTAAAGTTTCCTGGAATGACTATTTAATCCTGTTTTCAACAACAATAACTCTCTGTTCTGGGTAAGACTCTCTAAGACTTCTCCATTCCTTCTCATTCCACATGCTCTTCATTTATACAATTCATTTATTTACTTATGCATCCACACTACAAGCACTAATTAAGCTTTTACTATATGCTAGACTCTGAGAGAGATACTGGGGAAGCAAAAATAAAAATATCTACTCCTTGGCCACAAGGAGATGGTTGTACAACTGGCAGAGAGATGCTGTAAATGAGGGAAGGGAGAGTTGATGTCTGCCAGTAGAAGGTTGCTAAGAGGATCAAGTCTTTCAGCTGAAGTGGGAAGGATGGACAGGGATTTTTTGGTGAATAAGAGTGGGAATTTCTTGGGAAGGTGGAATGGAGGTGGAGGTGAACATGTAGAAGAGTCATACATGGGCAGGGAATACAACAATGTGATCAGGGAGGTGTGAGAGGGCAAAGTATTAGAGATACTCTGTTTTAACATATGGGGTGGTTGGGCATGGTGGCTCACACTTATAATCCCAGCACTTTGGGAGGCTGAGGTGAGAGGATTGCTCCGTGGGTTCAAGACCAGCCTAGGCAACTTGGCGAGACCTCATCTCTACAATAAATCAAAAAATTAGCCAGACATGGTGGCGCATGCCTGTAGTTCCAGCTACTTGGAAGGCTGAAGCAGAAGGATCACCTGAGCCCAGCAGGTCGAGGCTGCGGTGGCCGGGAGTGTGCCATTGCCCTCCAGTCTGGGTGACAGAGTGAGACTCCAACTCAAAAAAAAAAAAAAAAAAACAAGCAACAAAAAACCTATGTGGTGATCCCCCAAAAGACTAAAATTATTTTTTTGGAGGATGGGCCCCTTGTAGTACAGGCTTCCCTCACTAGGTAAGTGTTCTAGAAATTCATCAGCATCAGTGTACTAGCTAGCATTGTTGGGAGAGATTGCATTTAGTCTTCAGTGAATTTTTTTTTCAAGATTCTTTCAATGTATTTGCCTGTTTCATGATAGGTGACTTATGAGTTCACCTGCCCACACAGTTTTTGACCAAAAAAAAGCATGATCCCCATGCCCCACCTTCCCTATTCATCCAATCTCGCCCTGAGTGAGTTTTTTTCCCTAGATGAAAAAAAGTCCTCAGATGGAACCATTTGGCCAACAGGTGAAATAAAAAATGGCAGAAGCACTAAAAGGCATCAAAATGGACGAGTTCAAAGACTGTTTTGCGCAGTGGAAGAAGCACCTTGATAGGTGTATTGCATCAAATGAGAATACTTTTAAGGTGACAAAAGTTCAAACATGTAAGAATAAATACAATTGTTCATAAACAAATTTTGGGTTTTTTGGGTCTCCCTTGTATAGATAGAACCACAAATATGGTGAGGATCTGGAACAACAGGAAATTTCATGGAAAAGAAAACAGATCTCAGATTTGTAATGCCATCTGAGAAAGATTTAGAAAGAGTATGAGGAATTTTGAAAATTAACAAGTTCCTAAAGGTGGTAATATTTTATTATGCTGTGAAATTTATTTATGATCGTTTTAACTCAATCTGCTTTCCTAAACTTTTTTCATTGAAAAGTATATCAGAAAAAGAATCACTTTTACCTAATGCATAAAATGTATATGTCAAAAGCAGAACTCTCTGGTGATTTTCAAAACAAGTTAAGTTTGTTAATCTGCTGTTTATCTTATTGTCTATTTTTAAAAATTCTCATTCACTGCATGTTCATTGTCAGTAAGTTCATCTCTCCCTTTTCTTGTTAAATTTCTTTTGTTTCTATTCCAGAGACCCAATACTCCCCTCTATAATTTCCAGAGAACCAAACTTGATTATTAAGGTTTTTTGATAAAATGCAATTCCAAAGTTCCTTATGTTGCTTAATGTTTCTCAAGGATCTAATTTTATCTTGTGTCTTGTAATTTTCGTCTGACAGCTCATCTGATGCAAACTTTGTTTCTCATGCTGTGATTTGGGGATTGGCATAGCCCAGCCAGGTGGGGTGCATATTCTGAGGTTAGGGTTTGAAGTTCTTTCCCCAAAGAGAACGCTCCCACAAGATGCTGTGTGCAATGGAGATATGGATTCTGGTTTGGCTCAGTGCCTCCACTTCCTTTCATGAGAGGTATATGTCTGTCTTCAATTCCAGAGAAGGTGTGAGGTACCTTTTGAGCCCATTGTGCACATGGGAGGTCTTGGCCTCCAGGTGTATGGAGCTCCTGCCACATGAAGTATACACTCCCCCATGTGTCCCTTGAAGTTCCCACTGTCCCAACTCATCTCCAGTTCTTGGGAGCAGCCCAGCTCAGTATCCCCTCACCTCTCTGCACTTTCTTTCATTTCTAGTCCTCAGACACTTTCCACATATGTTTAAGCTTGGTTATGTATTCTTTAAAATGCATTTACAAATATTTTATCTGTAATTCTCATATGTTCAGAATCCAGAGGAAGGTTTTGTGCATATCTCATGTGGATTAGAAAACCAACAAGAAATCTTCCATTTGTTTTTGGAATACTCAGAACATCTCAAATATGACATTAAACAAGAAAAGTAACAGTTTTTCACTTAAAAAATGGGATACAGCAAGAGGCTGGAGAGTTGGAGAATGAACTAGACAGAGTGAATTATGTACAACTGAATGATCTTGTGTTTGCATCAAAGAAAAACTTGCTTTTAACAACAACAACAACGGCCAAAAGTTTTTCTACTATTTGGATGAAATGAACTGCAACTGCTAATCACTTTACAGTCAGAGACTAGAGGATAATTTTGAGGCATTCCTTTATTCAGTGTCCTTGATTTAGATATGACTACCATAAGGTATATTTGTCAGCTTCTTTTGGTGTGTTAATACTAGGGAATCCTTTTACTTTTCTTTTTGGCTGACCCTTCACAGCAGGAAATTTCTAGGGAAATACATCATCTAACTGTTTACAGTTCAATTGTCATAAGTATGACTTTTCTAAAGCTAGTCAGCAAAAGAGGGCCAAATAAATGCAATCCAACACATTTTGATTTTACAAACATCTGCTTGCTTCCCCCTCCCTTTATTAAGTATACATCGTGCATAAAATCTGTTTTTAATCAACTAATACATAGACTAAAGCCTGTGGTTTAAACACATTGACCTACCCAGATCCTTGGGGGTTATTCAAATTTAAATAGTACAAGTGTTACTGAAGTCCGCAAAGAATTACTGAGTCAGTTGGAAGTATAATAGAGGGAAATTAAGCTGGGAGAGAGACTTGTTTCCAAGTAGTACCAAAGGGGCTGACAACACTTTTGAAGAGAACCTGGGTAATGGGAAGGTAACAAAATCCAGTCTTCAGCGAGCCATTTGTCCATAAGCTTCTATTACAGGGAATTCTCTGAAGGTTTTCTGGAATTTAACTCTATCACTAACATCCTGTGTGGTGGTCAGCCAGGTTTTATAACCTCTGGATTTTGATTGTGCTTTGTGCAAAAGAGAGATAATATTTTTCAGCATAAAAGTTTTGGTACTAAGTAGATACAAGTAGATATCTAAACAATTCTACAGAGTACAAAAAATTGTTTTAGTTTCCTGTTCTCACCTTGAAAACTTCTATTTACTTCTCCTTATTCAAGCTGAGTTTTCAAGAAATCCAAGGAGTCAGGCATGAGTAACCACATATGCAGAACGAGAAGACTGGGGCTACCATCCCAACTAGACTCTTTTGGACAAATTGCTGGAAGGGTTGTGGGCTCATTTTTCTCATCCATAATGTGTGGATGATGATCAATCTACCTATCTATACTATTGTTAAAATCAAATGAGAAAATGAACACCTATACCAGAGAACTACACAAATGTTTGTTGAAATCATGAATTACAGGATAGAACATTTAGTTAGGACTGGGTACCAGACACTAGAGGGATCCAACCTTGTGCCTCTGGCAGACACTGTTCTCCAGCTTGCTGATGGCTTTTTCTGACAAGCATCTGTGTCTTTCTGCCCCAGGACTTTACCTGGCCCAAGGGAGAGCAAAC